CCACTGTATCCCAGGTAAATTAAAATCACCCATAACCACCACATAACCATTATTATTACTCATAATCCTGATATCATCATATAACATTCTGCTTTCCTCTACAGCTACATTAGGTGCTCTATAACAAACCCCGACAATTAGGCCATTTGAATCTTTAGCATGAAGTTTTATCCATACAGCTTCTGAATTTTTATTTTTATCAGTGAGCTCCCTTGCCTGCAAGTTGTTGGTAACACTGCGCTGTTTATTAATAAATACAGACAAGCACTCATGCTGATCAAAAAAAAAATGTAACAACCACCCACATAACCGTACTGGTACACAAACACTCAAATATACTTCCAAATAATTCCAATCAACCGCTTCAACAGGCGCACAATACAACACAAGTGCACACAGCGTCTACACCACTCCCTCACAGTGCAGCAATCCAAGCAGCCTCTCGTTGTTTGACCGGAGAAAATCCCAAACACAAAATTGACAAAATTTTGTCATCTTGCCTGGCCTTGTGTTCTCAGCATCAAGTCATCCTGTAATCCATAGGCATCTCTCTCTTTCTTTGTAAAGGATATCTGTAGGAACTCCTTTGCAGTATCTGCTGTGAATGCAATGGGATGCAGTCTGAATTTCACTGAAATGCTTAAAAGGTCTGGATTGGGGTTTGGACCTATCAATAAGCAGTTTTTCAAAGATGGACAACTCTCAGTTTAATTGTTTTGTCTTCTTTGATAACAGCATGATGGGGCAAGTAATATTTCAGTTCAATTGAATTTTATTTGAAGAGTGCATTTTCCCTATATCACATTGTCTCAAAGCACTTTACATTATTCCTGCCCAAGCCCCCAGTGAGCAAATCAGAAGTGGCAGTGGCAAGGAAAAACTCTCAAGGAAAAAGTCCAAAGCAACCCATTTAATAAGGGTAATCCAGCAAAATCCAAAAGGGAAGTTCACAGTAAAATTCAGTCCATGAGAAATCTGCAAAGAATTAAGAAAAGATGGTGGAATTAAGTGGTGGCATTTTTTCAGCGATGACTAAAATAACCTGTTCATCTTCTGTCTCATGCCTTGTCATGGGTATGTCATGTCATGGGTATTTTTTAAAACGGTGTTTTTCCTCCGTTTTAAAAAAAATCCCTGTCCACACGAACATTGTCTTCTAAAATATTTCCGTCCACATGACACCGCTAAAATGCGCTGTCAAGAGCATGCCAAACCAACAGGCGGCATTATAACTCTAACCGTACTGCCATGTTAGCCAATCAGAAGCCTAATTGCCAGTCCTGTTGAAAACTATGCCGCACATTCCGACGCCTGTGTTGATCAATATAATGCGAGAGTGACTCAACATTTATCTGTACACGTGTAAGAAGTCCTGTCAGCAAGGTTAGCACAAACACTATTTCGGCTAAGTCCGCCATTGCTCAAACTCGCCTAATGTATACAGCAAACAGCACACGCTCTGACGTTAAACAAAGTGGACAACGGCGCACAATCTGACATTTTGAGCCAAAAACTCTGTTTTCCCTGTCTACATGTCGATGCTGAAAATGGAGTTTCTTAAAATCTTCACCCTGGGTGGAGTTTAGCAAAAGCTCAGTTTTCAGTGACCTAAAACGCCGTTTACGTGTGGACAAAAGCCCAAGACATATAGAAAAAGGTACGTTTTAAAAAATACCCATGTACGTGTGGACAAGGCATCAGACTTGTGAAATTTTTGCATCTCTTGGTGTCCTTTTTGGTATGCTTTGAGCCCTTTCTTGAACAGAGAGCTCCATCTAGTGGGGTCAGAAAACAGGGTAAATTTGTTTCAGAAGTGTCATTTTGGCTATCACTACTGTTTGGCAAGTGTTTGTCATGTTCTGACGATGAAGAAAAGTTGATAACTATGCTTCTTCGGTTTTAACTCAGGAGTAAAAATTAGCCTTTATACTAGAAGTAAATACAGTGGTACCTCGGTTCTTGAACTCACTAGAACTCGAACAAACCAGTTTGACCTAGAACTCGATCAGAATATCAGATGTCGAACCGTGAACGCTGACCTAATATAAATTGTATGCGCCAGGAAATGAGTCATACAGTACTACAATGCAATTCTTACTTGAATGCCTTCTTCACAGACTGGACGATTAAC